TTTCTGTGTACTAGCAATAATTTTTTTAACAATTGGTTCTGAGTTTTCTTCTTTTTCTTCTTTTCCTTTTTTTCTTGATCTTACGAACACCCATTCTTTCTTTCTTCTATCTTCTGAGCATGGCTCTAGCTGAATTTCAAGTGCATGCACATTTGGCTTTTAAGTTTGCCACTTTTTTCCTATTCTCCTATTTTGCTTATTTTTTATTATTTTTCCTTCTATTTTACTAAACCATTCTGCTTGTTTGCCTTTACATAACAAGCCTTGTAAAAGTTTAAGTTGTTGCCATGATAACATTTAATTACCAAACTTGTTAATTAGCTGTTCTATATATATTAACTTCAGCTTCTCTAATGCTAGTGCTACCTTTTTTATAAAGTTATTTTCTAACAACTCTGCGATTTTGTTTTTTTTTCTATTTAGATATAAATTTGGGTTACTAAAATTTAATGTAATTTGCATTTTTTTAGCTTTTAACATTGTGTAGCATGCTAGATTGTTTTTCCAAATTTTATTGCAAAGTTTAGGAAGATTTTCATGTCATGTATTTTCTGTTGCTCCAATTAACAGAAGGCTTTGGTTTATGTGTATTCTTGTAAGCACTTCTTCTGTACTGCTTGAATTTAGTCATGTATAAAGACTTGTAATTTGTTTGATCATAAGTTAATTTCATAGTGAATTGCAATTTTCTAGATTCCTATATAGCATTATATTATTCTCTGTTGTGTTTGCTATTTCTAATTTATTTTTTGCTATTTTTAATAACAGGCTTTATATTTTATCTACTATTCGCTTTGTTAACTTCAATGTTTGTAATATATATAGTAATTTTGGTATAATGCACATATTGTTTATATATGACATCTGTGCTATTGTCATTCTCTTGGTATTTAGACTTCTTACTGTTGCTTGTACTGTTTCTTGTGCTCTTGATCTAATCAAAGAATCTTTTAATTTGCAATTCAACCAAATTCCTAAAAATCTTATTATCTTGTTTGTACTTTCTTCTTGAACTTGTTCATTTCCTAAATTTATTATTTTATTTTTATTTGTTTCTTCTGAGTTCAAGATAATTAGTTTAAATTTTTTCCTATTAATTTGTATATCATTTATTTTAAAAAATTCTTCAGCAATCTTAATTGTTTGTTGTATTTGTGCTTGGTTGCTTGCAATTCAGGTTGTATCATCTGCAAAGGCAACTACTGCTTGTCTCAATTCTGTTCTTTTTGAGTATCTTTGATTGTAATTGTATGGTACTAATATTGATATTGTATATCCTAAACTGTGATCCTCTTGTATTCTTTCTAGAAGTAGATCATAAAAAATCCTCTACACCAGAGGAGATAAAACTTCTCCTTACTCTATTCTATCATTAATTTCGATTATGTCTGTTGTGCTCCAATGTGTAATAATCTTAGTTTGTCTATTGTAGAACAAATTTAAGATAAATGTAATTGTGATTGTAGAGATCTTAATTCTCTTCATTGCTAATTCTAATGCATCTAATGATACTGAATCGAAAGCTTTTTTTATATCTTGTAGTACTAGCCATAATTCTTTGTTGTTGTCTTTTGCGTCTTTTATTATCATATTAATAATATGAACTGGCTCTTTTGTTGAATTGCCTGACAGGCCTGAAAAGTTGGATTCTTTTAGTATTTCTCTTTCTATTTAAATTAGACTGTATGTGATTTTTGTTATGCCTAGAGCAGTGTTTTTCTTCAATTCTGATAACATTTTTGTCTATTCTTCATCTGTGATATTTTGATTTAGCTCTCTATACTACTCTGCTTTTATTGTATTTTTGGGTTCATATATTTTTGTCCAACTCTTTTTAAACAAGATTTGGTTGAAATGTCTTGATCTTAACTGATTTTGGAAGTGATCTTTTGTTTTAGATAAAACTTTTGCTAGTTCGGTAAGCAAGTTTTTTTGGTCATTTTCTTCTATCTTTAATTTGTCTATTTGTATTTTTCTACTTAGTTTATCAAGCAGACTTTTAAGCATTTTTTTTTGATTTCTGACAATCATCTGACATCTTTTTTCCATAAACTCTTTGATTTCTTTCTACTTTAATGTCTCGATTTTACTTGCTCTTCTCATATAAAGTATCTTCCACCAATCTTTTAGATCATCAATTAGTTTTTGTGACAATTCTTTTTGTATTGTATCTATATATGTTCCTTCTTGTTGATTGATATACTGTAACTCAGAATTCAGCTCTTCTATATTCTCATTTAATAAACCAATCTTAACAGTTATTTTCTCAATACTAATCTATCTTTCCAATTGTGTTAGTAACTTAGAAAGTTTTGCTTCTTTTGTCTTCTTTTTCAGATTGTATGCTGTATTATATATTTTCTTTTTTGGCAGATTCTTTTTTGCTGCTGTTTGAATTCCATTTACTATAATATCTCACCAATCATCTATTTTGTTTTGCAGATTTTTCTTTATAATCTTTTCATCATTTAAACCTTTTGATGTTTGCTGTAGTTCCTCTATTAGAATTCTTTTCCTTAGCTATAAGTTTAGCTCTCTTCTATAATTTTCTATATCCTCTTTGGTTGCTTTTTTCCACAAAAAAATTGTTCTATAGTATTTATTCTTTTTAATTTCTGCTGCACTATATGGTTCTATTAAATGTTCTAAATTAATTTGTGCTATAACTGATCCATGATCACTATTCATATAAACTTCTATTTCTTGTATTTTTGCATCTAATAACCTGTCTGCCAACTCTTCTGTAACTTAAATTTGATCTATTCTTGATTTTAATTCTCTGCCTGACCAAGAAAACTCTTTTTTTTCTGGGTTTATAAGTCTATAAACATCTTTAAAGTCTTGTCTTGTTAACCATTTAAGTAAGGGATCTTGTTTAGTTAATTTCTGTCTAGAGTTTGTTGATCTATCTAGCTCATAATCAGATATACTATTAAAATCACCCATCACAATTATTTGTGTTCTTGATGAATGATTGATGTATTTCTCAATTATTGTTCTTTGTATGTTTTTCTTTTCCTCTTTGTTGTTTGGTAGCATATAGATCATTATGACTATTAACTTCATTTGTTTAAATATAAAATTTGCTATGATTACATATTTATTTATTCTACTTATTCCTCATAAGTGCTTTTCCTATTGATTGCTTATAAGTATACCTACCCCTGAACCTTTTTTTTTGCTTGAATTTGCATTTGACCAAAAACTCTTGTAGTTATTTTGGAAGTTTGATATGAAAAAACCTTCTTTGTTTAAAATATTTGTTTTTGCTATGCCAATTATATCTATTTTATTGTCTTTTAACTATTCATATAAAACCTCTATTTTTTGGTTGTTTCTTTTAAATCCATTAACATTATATATTGCTATGTTTAGGTTTATTTTGTTATTTGAATAGATTTTCCCTAATGGCATTTGCTGTTTTGATTTTGCTTGTTGTTCTTTAGTTATGTTTCTGATTTTTTTCTTTCATTTTCCTTTAACCTTTTCTGTAATTTTGTTTAATATTTCCTCTTTGTCTTTTTTGTTAATATTTTGTTAATATAGGTGCCTTCTTGTATCTGTATTTAGATTTTCATCCATTATCTGCAAAGAGGATCATGCTTCTATACTCAGTTTCTTTGATTCAACTATGACAACTTTTAGGAGTGATTCTTTTCTATATTAACTATATCTAAATTTTTTCCAATATGATTTGTTTCAAGCTTATCTAGTCTTAATAGAATTCTTTGCAATAATTTCTGCATTTGGTCTGATACTGTTTCTTCTTCTGCTTGGTTTAATTTGATCATTATATTGTTTCTTCTTTCTTACTTTTTCCTTTTTCTCTAATCATTGTATTGTATTCTGTTTCAATCTTATTTAAATAAATATCTATGTTTACTGTATTTTTTTGTTTTTGTTTATCAGTCCTAGGAATCTTTTTTCCTTCTTCCACATCATTCCAAAAAACCAGATGGTTGTTGTATCTTATTGGGTTTGTTTTGGCTATGTTCATTTCTTCTTCTGAAGCAAAGATAATTATTGCTGATTACCATTTCTGTTAGATAATATGTATACTGACTTTGCACCTTTGCTCTTTAAGCAGTATAATAATAATACCTCTGAGGCATTTGCTAGAATGTCTTTTAATTTTGTTGTAAATGTACTTTGAAGATCTCATTAACTATAATCCTTATTGCCTTTAGATACTCTTGCTAGTTTGTGTCCACCAATTAGTAGAGACCAAGGAATGCTTTCTTCATGTAAGTATTCTGTTTTAATTACTGCAAGAGCTTTGAATTTAGATTTTTTAATTTGAACTATCTGTGCCTTTTGGATGCTTTTACATATATGTTTTACTTCTTCTATGTCGATGTTAGTTGGCAAATCCCAAATCATCCAAAAGTTGTGCTAATTTTTACTGTTTTTTGCTATAGAAATATCTTCTGTTTCTTTTGTTATTTTTAATTCTATTGTTTTTTGACCTTTTTTAATTTTTTTTTGTTATCATCTTTGATTTGTTGATTTACATTTTTGCTTTGTCTATTTATTTCTTCCAGAATAAGTTTAAGCCAGTCTCCTTCTTTTTCTCTAATTCTATTTATTGCCATGTCTCTACTATATTCACAATCAAAGTCTACTTCTATCCAATTATTTCCTTTCTTAAAAACTTCTTTCACTGTTTTGATGTGATGATTTTTTCCTAAAATCCATTGTACATATTTTACTCTTTCTTCTTTTGTTTTCTCTGGCAATGCATATGTTGGCATGTTTGCCTTAAATGATTTTGCTTTGTCACAGATTCTATTTCTTGGAGACTACTGGCTGTCTTTTATTGTATCTTAAAAGATTAAGTCAGCATTCATATCGTCTAAAACTTCTTTTTCTAATTCTGCTAGCTTCTTGTTGAGATTTTTAATATTTGTTTGGATGTCATTAAGCATGTTGTCTCTTGGTGGTTCTGAATCTTTCTTAAATTTTTTTTCATCTTGATCTTTTATTTGGTTCTCTTTTATGACCACTTTTGCTTGTTCTTTATTTAAATTAACAAAATTGATTGTTTCTTTTTGTTTTAAGTCTTCTTCTTGACATCTTTTTTTTCCTGCTAAATTGAAGGTATCCTCTAACTTGTCTGTTTTGAGTAACCCTTCCATTTTCTTTTAGTTCTTGGTAATTTTATCCTTACTCATACTAGTAATAAAATTAATCGAACCTGGGTTTTGATTTAGATATTTAAGTTTTGTGACCTATTTGTCTGTTGTTCCTTCTTCAAGCCATCCCAATTCTGCCAGTTTTAAGGCTTCAAGGATTTGGCCATAAAGCAACATATTATCTGATGTGATATAATTTGGGTCATTCAATGCTAAGTCTTTTGGCTTTTCGTAGATGTTGATAGAATATAATCCAAAGTTTTGCAATTTATATATCTTTAGTTTCTATCATCCAGCCCCTTGATATAATTTATGATATCTGATTTTTGCATCTTATCTTCTGATCTATTGATTTGATTAGCTTAAATTTGCTTAAATAGTTTACATGTATGTTAGTACTGTATAAGTATTTTCTAATATACTTAGTATTTTCCTAATTAGAAATGTGTTCTGTTTGTTGTTTGTTTATTTTTGTACAGTCACATGTTCTAACTTTTAATTTTTCCAAGTTAACAACAAATTCCCAAAAGTAAGAGAAAATTTTGTCTAAATTTTGGAAAGGTTTCATAATTGTTGCCTATGAAAGTTATTCACTTTGGTATTATAAACAAATAACTGTAATTTCTTGTGTTAGATCTTTTTTTCTAAACTTGTAACAGGTGTTTGATATGTACTTTTTTGATAAAATCTTGAAAAATAATTTTGTCTTTTTTTAGAAATAAAGATTAGCAAAGAGAGTTCATGATTATTTTTCAGTAATAGCATAAGGGAATTTTTATAATAATATAAGAATTTTGTGATCACTAAGTGTATTTTAGTTAGCATCATCTGTATAATAAGAAGTTAAGTATTGAATAATGAAATGGTTAGCCCAGATGTAGTTAATGTAACTACTGTATCTGCTGCTATGCCAGGTGGAAATTAAGAATTGTATGTGTTTAACTAGATTATGCATGTTGTTATATTAGAGGAAATAAATAAGTTTGAGTTTGATTAATGATAATTGTAAATTATTAGAGATGTTAAAGTTACTTATAATTATTAGTTATATGCTTTTAGTATTTGCTTTTTGAATTTATTATATAATATTATTTTAAATAAGAAGTTTAAGCTAAAGGTCATCACTAGGTAAATAGACTGAAATAATGTGGAATTTAAAGTTATGCTTAAAAAAGAAATCTATAGCAATAGCATAACTAAGAAATTAAAGTATTTTGTAAATATGTAGTTTTAAATATTTTTGAATTATAATTGCTATTCTAGCATTATAGCTATCAGTGCAAGACTAGTAATAAGTAAACTGCTAAGATTTAGAAAATTTAGCATTTGCATTGTCATATGCAATTTTAGTTTCTATAATGCTAGTTATGTTTTTTTTTTTTTTGTTAAAGGCTTTACTTGTGCTGATACTTTATTGACTTTATATTGGGTTAGCTATTACAACTATTTTTACAGAGATGAAAGTATAGCTAGTCACACATGCAACTTTTGGTTGCCTGTTTAAGTAGTCCATACTAAGGTTCTATACTAGATGCTGTACCTATAACCTACTAGGAGATTATCTATTTAAACCCTCTGATCATCCACTCTGTCATATTGGAATCTCCAACTAACTCCTATATATACCTAACCAGTATACCATCTGAGCAGTATAGTACCTACTCTTTTTGTACTAGTTCTCAGACCATTACACATTTCAGAGTACATCACTTGCCAATAAGATGCAAGAGGCCCCCTGTTGTTAACTATTTACCCACTTTTAAAACACTAACACAGATTACTTTTGCAGAGTTCACCCAAATCCCAGTACTGACTTCATAGCATATCTCTAGTACTTTTAGTATACTTCTGCTTTGAACTCAGACTTCCAATCCAGATAGCCTAGTAGGACTGTGACCTGTCCTTGGTATATTGAGGCTGGCCAAATATCCTTTTCCTCTGGTCCAAAATCTGGTGGCCTAGTTGGTAGTACCCCTCACTTAAGGTTCTTGCCCACCCAAATTCTTTACATTGGTATCCATTTCCTAGGTCTATGCTAGCTATATTGATGTTATGAAATAAATAATAATTTTTCCAAACTTGTTGTTTTAGATTATCATTATATTTTCATATATTGTATATACATATACATATTGATAAATATAATGGTTTATATAAGGTAGATATAGATATTTCATTTATTAGTAGGTGAATGGTAGGTTATGTGTTGTGAGTATTAGAGAATGTAAATTGAGAAAGAGTCTTGGGTCTATCAACTATATGATTAGATATAAAAATAACTAATATAGATGGAGATTCAAAAAATAGGTTTGTAAGAAACAATTGATCAAATAAGGCTAAGTGAATATTAAATAAAGTATTATTAGATGTTGTTACTAAGGATAGATATTTGTATATTTCATATTAAAAAGGTTAAATAATATAATGTTCATGCAAAATAGGATTAGAAAAATTAGATTATATATATAACTCAGTTTTGTTTTAATTGATAGATATTTTGCAGTTATTTTTAAAAAATTGTTTTCAAAAATAGAATAGAAAGTTTCCAAGTGTTATAGGATTATATATAATAGGTAGGTTATATAATTGTAGAAATTTGTTGTAACATGTATTTGTTTTAGTATGAGGTAAAATGTTAGAAGCAGAAACTTAAGAGGTTAAGTCGTCTTTTATAGAATTATTCATTATTTGAAGCTTGGCTCATACAGTATGAAGATAAAATGAATAAAAAGACTTTTCTTTTTGATTTTATACTTTTACACAAATTCTATATCTGTACATATCTTGAAAAAAAATTAGTTGTACTTGTAGAAGATCTAGAAATAAAAAATTGAATTCTAAACTTTACTAGTAATAATATGTCAAATAATTAAATATATCAACATTATCTTTAAGACTATATTGATTCTAATTTTATATATTGTTATCCTATATCTACTTCTTTTAAGATAGTAGGTAACTAGAGCGATCTTAGACAGTGAACACTTTTTGTAACCTCACTTGTTACTGTGTTAT